AGCCGTACGGCGAATTAGATTTAACGTGACGTCATAATAACGGAAATTCAAATAATTTTATTATTATTATCATTGTGTTTACTCATGACAAACAATCAATTGTACGAATTTTCCCTCCCCCCCTTTTTTTTTTTTAAATAAAATTTGACAAAAAGGAAAAAATCCTTTGAAAATTGAATTTTGTGAGTTTGCGGTGGTATGCCTTTCAAAAAGGTTCACACACACACACACACACACGATCACAAAATTATTTATTATTATTATTATTACATATTTATTTGGAAATAATCCGACAAATATTTTCTGGTTTTCACCTTAACAAAAAAAAAAGAGATAATAATAATAATAATAATTTTTTATTATTATTTTTATGGAATCTTTTTTTTCCTCTCTCTCTCACTCGAATGGTTTTATCACACGTCATTATTATGGAGAAGAAAAAAAAAAAAAAAAAAAAAAAAAAAAAAAAACATTCCATCAAATATATATATTCTTCTCAATATACAATAGGGGGAGGAGGGAAGGGGAGAAAGGGAGGGAAGGGAGCAAGGGGGTTAAAAAATAATGGAAGTGAAAAAAAAAAAAAAAATTTAATTTTATTAAATTTTCTTCATTGCTTTAAGTTTTACGCCTCACCTCCTCCTTCTCTCTTTTTTTTTATTTTACGATTACGGCCGACACGCAAAAATTATTATTATTATTATTGTTATTATTATTATTGTTATTATTATTATTATTTTTATTATTATTAATATTCAATTTCAATACAAACCTTTTGTAAAAATTATTATTTAAAAAATTCACGAATTCATAAAAATAATTTTTTTTTATATTAATTTATTCGGTTGTTTTTTTTTTCGTTAATTTATTTATTTAAACGTCATTAATAATAATAATAATAATAATAATGATGATGATGATGATAAGGGAATAGAATAAAAAAATTTTTTTTTTTTTGTTTCCCTAGGTTTTCTGATTTTGTAATTTATGTTAAGCACGTTCGTTATATTTATTTCTTTAAAAAAATTTACTGTTCAATTTCACCTGGTAAATTTTATCTAGTGACACTTTATTTTTACTCTTTATATATTTATTTAAATTTTTTCTCTTCTTCTCCCTCTCCCTCTCTCTTTTTTTTTTTTGTTAAAATTTTATCACTTTTCCCCTTTTATTGAGTGAGAGGGAAGAAGAGGGTGGATGAGGAGGAGGAGGAAGAAGGGGGAAGAAAGAAATAATGGGAAAACTATGAAAGTACACGTTTTTTTTTTTTTTTTTTTTTAAAGAAATTTTCTATCGTTTCTGGCATTAAAAATATTTTCAAACGTGTTCTCACGTTCAATGACAAAAATTACTTAAACGTTTTTCTTTTTTTCTTTTTTTTTTTTTTTTTTTTTAATGGAAGTAAATATAAAAATTACGATTCGATAAAAACATGGAGAGACGTTTATAAAAATGTTATTTGAATAATAATATAAATAAAAAAATTATGTAATAATAAAAGTATAATAAATTATTTCATTTTCTTATATGTGAATCCAAAAAAACGTCATCGAAACATTTTTAACTGTATACTACAGAGTGTGTGTAGAGAGAGAGAGAGAGAGAGAGAGAGAGAGAGAGAGAGAGAGAGATAGAGAGAAAGATGTTTCCGATTGTGAAAACCATATGAATTGTTTTTTTTTTTTTTTTTTTCTTAGTTGCAAATTTATTTTATTGGTTTTCAATATTTTTTATTTTTCTTTTGACCGGAATCACTTTTGGATTATTTCCAATTCGAATTTAATAAATAAATTAATTTATTAAATTACAGTTGGGGTATTTGGAAGTCGTCGTACCACCGGATTTCATACCAGAAGACACATCTGGAGACATTATGGTACCAGAAGGTGGAAGCGTTAAACTCACGTGTAAAGCACGAGGATATCCTTTGCCACATGTTTTATGGCGAAGAGAAGATTCTGCTGATATTATATTGAGAGAACCTAACGGAATCAAAAACAAAGGTTTTTGTCTCATAATTAAACCCATTGATAGATCGATCGATGGATCGATATATCGATCGATCCATCAAATTTACCCATGATAAAAATTTATTTTTTTTTTTTTAACGAAACCCAAACGGATTATATACTTTTTTTTTCCCTTCCCCCTTCCTTTTTCAGGTACGT